TTTCACTGAAATTATCAATATTTACATTTATCACCCGCTCCGTACTATCCACCGTAATGAAATTACACTCGTAAATGAATAAATAAACAGATAGAAAAGTAGCAGCCAATCTGACTACCGAATAGAAACGCGAAACTCGTTGAGAATCAATATTTTTTCAAAGTCTCCCCGAATAAATTTCTATTCTTATCAACATGTCGCTATTAATACCGCCTAACACTTTCAACACCTGTTGGACATTGTTTGCCGGGTAGAATCACGGCTTGAAACATAGTTATGCACGGACGGATCTGGAATACGTCGGGGAATTTTGCGATTTTCAACGGAACCACGACGAAATGTCCTGCGTACGACAAAAATACACACGGAGGAGGATCGATGGAGGCGCGTCGTTCATTGGCATTCGAGGAATCGTCGAGCGCGTGCAGCGCCCGGTATTTTAATCGATTTATCTTGCCGAATATATTCCTGGGTGGACGCACAGGCGAATGAATTCGCGTCTTGGAAAATCCAAAGTGTCCATGGGCCGACGCGTGTACCATAAATTGTTTATCGAGCAAAATTCAACGATCGAAATTGACGACGGTTAAGTCGAATGATAAAAACGTTCGTTTCAGCTACATTTCATTGCAGGTCTTTCTTTTCCCTCGAATACTAGGAATTTTGTGTATTTTTCTTTTCTTCTTCGTTACATTTCGTTGCAATTTTTATTCTTCCTCGAATACTACGAATTTTATGTATTTTGCTTTTCTTTTTAGTTACATTTCACTGCAATTTCTTCTACGTTACATTTCATTGCAAATTTTATTTTTCTTCGAATATTGCAAATTTTATGTATACATTCTTCTTTTGTTTTTCACTAGATTTCATTGCAAATTTTCTTTTTCTTCGAATATTACGAATTTTGTAGATTTTTCTTCTTCTTTTTAGCTACATTTCATTGCAATTTCTTCTTCGTTACATTTCATTGCAAATTTTATTTTTCTTCGAATATTGCAAATTTTATGTATATATACTGCTTTTGTTTTTCACTAGATTTCATTGCAAATTTTCTTTTTCTTCGAATATTACGAATTTTGTAGATTTTTCTTCTTCTTTTTAGCTACATTTCATTGCAATTTCTTCTACGTTACATTTCATTGCAATTTTTCTTTTTCTTCGAATATCGCAAATTCCACGTACCTATTTTCCTTATGTTTTCCACTAAATTTCACTGAAAATTTTATTTTTCACTTCCGTCCCGCTACACTTCCAAATTTTATATTTTTCTCGAATATTAAAAATTCTCTTTTTTCTCTTTTCTTTTCAGCTACATTTCACTGCAATTTTTCCCCCGTCTGGATACCGCAAATTCCGTATATCATCCTTTCTTTCGCAAGAAAACACTTCAATTTTTACAATTTCGTCGAGAATCATAAACTAGGTGGAAAAGTTCGTTGTGTAAAACGAACGTACACGCCTGGTCTCGTTTTTAAAACCGTTCAGATATTCGAAATGGATAATTTCGCGTGTAGAAACAAGCAAACGTTGGAAGGATAAGACGAAAGGAAAATATAGATCTATCGTATTCTAAACATCCTTGAAAATCCCAAGATCGATGTCATGAAATAAATCAATTCGCGAAGTCTTGTGCTCATTCATAATACAGAGATTACATATTCTCCTTCCGAACGATATCTCTTCTTTCTTTCTTTCTTCTCTTTCTCAACAGATTTCTCGAGTCGTTGAAAATCGTGCGGAAAAAACACTGCGTAGCGTTTCGAAGAAGCTCGAATGCCGGATTGAGCAGGATCTCCCAACTGGACATGGCTCTTGCGCAATTTGGATTCATGGGTTTCACCCTACTGGGCGGCGACTATCTTGGGGTGAACAACAGTTCCGAAGAACTCGAGGGAATGATTCACTTCTGGCATGTCATTGGCAGCATGCTGGGCATGGATGAAAAGTTTGTGCACGAGACATAAATATTTTCAGGAAATTTGTATCGTTTTCAGTAAGAAATTGTAGGCTGCATTAACAGGCTGAAATCTCTTCTTACGAATTTTCTTCTTTCTTTCTTGAGGGGGATGATTAATAAGATTTTAAAATATTAGTGAAACTTAACTAGTGAAACTTTAAATGTGAAAAATAAATTTTCATACATTTTAGTGAACAACTGTTTTCCTGATATTTTTATTTTCGTCACTCGCAGCCTGATTTATGTGCAGTCTTCAATTTCATTTTAAGATTAATCTAAATTAAAGCTACTCTCTAGACTCTTTTTTATCAAATTTAGGTATTTTCACGCGAGTTTAATAGTTCTGATAAATATGGAAAATTGAAGTAAACGTGACAAGATTGATTTTTCGTGTTCTAACGACCAATTGTATTTTACACAGGTACAACATTTGCAGCGGAAGTGTGGAAGAAACGCGTGCTCTTTGCAGACGGCTTCTCGACGAGATTTTCCTTCCCTCGCTCGCCACTAATGACAAAGATTTCAATAAGATGAGCCGTCTTTTAATAGAATCTCTTTGGCCTGTGAATCCCTACATGGAATCGAGAGCTTTTATTGCATTCACGCTTATATTAGCCTCCGAAACTGCCACGAATAATAATCACTCGTTGAAAATAGGTAAATATCCCACCTGTTGCGTATTAAAAACACAAATACTTAAATTTCAACCCTCCATAGGCAAGCATATTTTTCTTTCACTCGTCTAGACTTCAAAAACACCTGAAAAAATTCTGCAATACTTATCAAATCTCTGCTACATTATACAATTTTTCAACTCGTCTCGTAGAAACACAAGAGTGAAATTTCGCTCGGGTCACTAATGACCCAGACTGCCTGAAGACGGTTAATTTCATCTGAAGAAGAAAAGTAACGTTTGAAAAAATTTTCAGATTTATCGAGTCTATCGTGGTACAGCAGATTCATCCTGAATCTTCAAATGATGGTGCACAAATACCTGCTACCACCTGCACACTGGTGGTCCAAGTTCTTCCGAACGTTCTTCAACGAGCAAATGCGTCTGGCGATTTATCTGACGGAAAGATTCCCCTTCCTAGCGTTCTGGAACTTCGGCATAGCAGGCTCTTACGTCGACATATACAAATATCGCGTCATGTGAACGGAGAAACTACGCTCTGCTTTTTTCACGTTCTCGTGTAATCAAACGAAGAACAGTTACCGTAATGTTTTTTGTTAAAAAAAAATGCACACATAATTTGACGTAAGACGCTTAACGCCTAGCATGCTCAAGGTCGTATTATTAATCAGTACAACGCACATCGCAAGTACTTAAACACTAACCACGTAAGAATGATCGAAGGCTCAATTTAGAAACTAAGAAACAGCTAGATAGATAAGCGCTTAATTTAAACATATTAGTACCTGTCCGGACGAACGAATCAGTATCTTTGTAAAGATTAACTTCTAAGGCTTTATTTAAACATTTTGTATCAGCTGTGTAAATACGAGATACGGTAAAATCTGACGAGTTCGAAATAAACGAACTGTTTGAAAAAAAGAGGGAAAGAAAGTTTGTGAAACGAGTGAAATTGGGCTCAGATCGAAGACAACGACCCATCGGTGCGCGCAGATTTCACGGAGGAAATCCCGAGGAAACGTGCGTGAATTTTTCGAGGAAAAAATACTGCCTTATCTCTCGCACAATGGCGTCCGGTGAGTGTTCTCTCTTCGTTCGTTGCGAAAAATCTTTCCGCGTGGTGGATCTTCGCCGTGTGTACGTTTCGGCTGGAGATTCTCCAAATTGACTGTTCCTCCTCTTCTCCGTGGTTTTTCGTCGCTGTTCCCACGCGGATTCCCCGCAAACGTGAATATTTAATTACACGATTGGCTCTAATCGAATCTCAGGTCGGCGTATCTTCGCGCGACTACGAGGAAACGCATAGGAGGAACTTGCATGCGTCCAGAGCCAATTAACCTTGGATGCAACACGCGACACTGTGACATTGCGACAAACATGACGATGAAACAGATGGATCGTCGTAAGATACGCTTACGATACCGAGACCGTGAATAAAGCTTGAACTCGTTTCGCGTTTAGGTTGCAGCGAGATTCTTGCACGAGTCATATTTCATCGCAATTCTTCTCTGTGCGCGCGTGTGTATGGAATTGTACGTAGAAAGTTAAAGAGTTCGTTGTTGCAACGATACTACGGGATACGATATGAGTAATTGCGACGATTCTCCGGAAATTATGTTTATTTTTCTTTTTTTTTCTTCTTCGGTAACTTCCGGTTGGAATCATCCTCGATGAACGTGCACAACGATCAAACAACGACGTCGCGTGTCCGCGGCAATCTTACGACGCTTTATCATTTGCTAAATTGAACAATAGTTTGCATATTTTGCGTCTATTTCACGGACAATCGTTGTTCCCTTCGGGAATAAAGGAGTAATCGAGGTATCCGGTTATTTCGATGACTTTATCGTTCAGAGGAGCGCACAGTGGTTTTAGAGGAGGTTTTGCGCAGCGTGTAATCGGTTTGGTACAATAAAAAACATAATTTATTTGATTTCAAATCTGTTTTTTTCTTTAATCAGAGAAGAATTTATAGCGGAGCTGAAAGAAATTTCGGAAGGCAAAATTAAATGACGGTGTATTCTAAATATTTCTTCACTGGAGAGCTTTCTTCAACACCTTTCACAATTTAAAAACTGTCTGGAAGTGCGAATAGAGCTGACACAGATAAGAGAATACCTAAAAATATGCTTTACTAAGAAAATTGGCGTGTCTCGTGAATTACTTAATTAAAAAATGGTATAATTCCGTTAAAAGAAAAAGAGTAAAACTACGTAAAAGTACATAAAACCGAAAGAAATTTAATTTTGCTTTTCGTAATTCTTTTCTACATAAATAACTTTCTCATTTTTAACTTCTCTCAGCATTAACGTTCCATGCAAATAAACCTACGAAGCATAATCTCGTTTCACTTCGACATAAACTGGTGATTCTAGAAGATATTTACAGGTGAACCAAGGAAGAATCGCTAATCGAAAAAGAGAGAGAGAGAGAGAGAGAGAGAAAAACGTGGAAAAATTCAGTATAAGTCGTTGAATGTCGAGCAACGAGAGCAACACGGTATACAAGAAAAATGCAAGAGTGCCCTGCAATTGTGGATGGGAAGTGAGATTCGGGTACGGTGTCGCTGTTACCCTGGCGATCTTCGAGGCAAAACGTTTCTTCATGCTGATCCTGGAGATATTCGCCGAATGGCAGATCATTCGATTCGCGGGTGGTTTAAGACCGGTCATATTCACTCTGATAAACGTCAGCCTGGGATTACCCACTGCTCTGATAACCGTTCGTAGTATACGCGCGTAAGTACACAGTGCTCAATTACGTTAATGAATATTTCAGATAGATACGATTATTATCAGTGACGCTTTTAGTGTGCCGATATCTCGCAATTGAGTGTATGAATGAGAAGTTCGATTTTTCGCGCCGTTCAACCCTTTCGTTGCGAAAGGGTGACCGTATTCAGCGCCAGTGATAGTAATCTTGGAAATGAGCTTTCGCTGTGCATACAAAATTTTTGATATTTAAAATTTGGTATATTTGAAATATTGTTTTATTTTAAATTTGGTATATTTGAACTGCCTTTTTATTTAAAATTTGGTATATTTAAAATATTGTTTCGTTGAAAATTTCAACGCACCTGCGCAGAAGCTATCAAGTCGTAAAATATGCGATCACAGATTCTTATTCATGTACAATCTGATAGCTCCAAGGATTATCTCAAGTGTTGAAAAGTTTCTTTCTATGAAACTTAAAGTAACCCAAGTGTAACTTCCGTTCCACCGAGAAAAATCCTACAAATTCACGTTACATCCGTCTGACACCAACATTCGAACTCGATTTTTCACATTTTTACCGTGCAATTTTGCATTTCTCTCTCTCTCTCTCTCTCTCTCTCTCTCTCTCAGACGAAAAGTGCCACGTTGCTGCGCGGAAACGAGACGAACGTTGAAATGCCTGCTGATAGTAATAGCAATATGCGCGATAACGAACGCGGCAACCTTAGTCTCCATAGGATACCACATAAACGTTCGACAGGACACATTGATCGACATTTTCAACAGCTCGATGCACTTGTACGTAACCGCGTCCTCTTACAAGTACTCGATCGACGAGATACAGTTCATCTTTCAATGCTGCGGCCATTCCTCTTACGCAGATTGGTTCCTCTTTGACTGGCAGGTGAATCCACCACTCAAAAAGGGTAACTCAATAACACGGTATAACAGTGTGAACGGAAATATTCCGCGGTATAAAGATGTGAAAATACACGTTCGTTTATCAGGGCGTGGACTATGCCTCTAGGGAGGAGATGGCTGTGCAACGTCCGATATCTGATGAAGAATACAGAGACAGAAGTGTTCCTTTCAGCTGTTGCAATCTACGTGCAATGTCGCCTTGCGAGCACACGGAAATTTTGGAGGCCGACGTTAAAACCATAAATACGAACGGCTGCGCTGAAATCGTTAGTCCTGTTCTTCTGAGAATCGTTATCGTTGCCTACGTCATGACCAGCACCTTGGTGATCATTCAAGTCTTTCTAGCATTTTTAATTACGAAGGTACGACATCGTTCATCGCATCGAGAATGAATTTATTGAGAATGAAGGCTTGGTAGATTGTTATTTAACGGATTCGCGGTGGTTTCAAATCGAGAAATGAGAAATTCGTAAGTGAACAGGTGGATTTTTAGGTTATGCGATTGTTGCAGATTGTAAGAAAACTTTTGTGCGGAACCTGTCGTTTCTACCATCTGCAACCTAACTTCGTCAACGAGTCTACCAGTGCTTCTTTGGAAGCGACGAGGTAACCTACGCTAAATATTAAAAAAGAATATAGAACTTGTGATTTCATTCTTGGGGATTCCCCGAGTAAAAATGAGCTAGGTCAAAGGGAGTTCTAAACGAACAAACTTCGTCAACGAGTCTACCGATGCTTCTTTAAAAGCAACGAAGTAACCTAACGTTATCGCTCGTAAGTATTAAAAAAGAAAAGTAAAATTTATGATTTTATCCCCGGGGAATTCCCCCGAGTAAAAACGATCCAGGAACAGAGAAGGTTCTAAATAAAGGGTTGAGCAAATAATTATAAACGCGTTCCTCTACAACAATATCCTCGGCGGCGATAAACCGCGAGCATAAATCAAGCGACGAGTAATTTCAATTAAAAACCGGTCCGGATCCACCGATAAGTGACGCGACGCGTCATTATACGGTTTTCGCGCCTCGCGTTGGTCCACGGATAAGATAAACCTGTCAATTTTCACGATCGTCCGCTTCGGCAAGCATGACAAATGTACCTTCTTATCGTTCAGCTCGGACACAGAGAGACGATGCTCGAGCTCATCCCCTTCGAACTGGGAGACCCGACCTAAGAGGACAACAAAGAGACGCGATAAACGCAAACGGGCCGATAAACAAGTGCCGTCGACGACGACCACGACGAAGTACGTCCGGTCTAAAAATAAAGTGAACGCGAAAAATGACTATTCCACCTCGTCTCCGTTCGATTCCTCCTCACCTTCCTCCAGTCGCGCCAGGGCGATCTTTGGAGCAGCGAGGATAAGACCGAGCGCTCACGAGGAACACACGATTACAAGGAAACCGTTGCGCGACGCTTGATGAAACGCGATCTGAACGAAAATACTGAACTGATTCTCTCTGCGAAATTTATCTGAAAAAATTCCATTCCACGTAAATCATACCGCGACGCGGACGACGTCGTTTCACGATCGTTTCGCCGGATTTATAGACGCCTAAAAAAAGAACGTTGCAAAAGTAAGTGTACGCTCTCGTGTTCCGTCTCTTTCACGAGGAATCGAGAGGATACGGGTTGACAACGAGAGGAACAGCTGGTAAGCACTGCAAAGGGGAGAGGAGGATCTTGAGACGTTTGGAAACAGGTGAACGTGAGAACGATACACGGGGATGAAGGATGGAGAGTGGTTTGAATTTTGGGGACAGATGATATTTTTGTCGAATGTTGCGAAAGAAGAACGAGAGAACGGAGTTAAAGTCATCGTACAGGTGAAACAACATCGATAACAGAGAAATACTAATTACAATGATTAGAAGTAAGCAGTAGACTGTGAGGGAGAGCATGTGTGTGTGTGTGTGTGTGCGCGCGCGCGCGCGTGTGTGTGTGTGTAGTGGGGATAGACGAATCTTACGTTTAGCAATTCAAGATCGTCCACAGGAGTGCAGTACGTTTCAAAGCACCGCGCAAGACGCACTGGCAGTGTCGATAATCGTAAGCTGCGCTTTTTCACGTTCGTGCCTCCCCGACGAATACCCAGGTTTGTAAGACTTTTGTAACTGCGAACGTAGCGTTTAACGTAGTTTTATGTATCGTAAGAGGTAGATGGTATTGCATAGGTTAGGCTGGGAATTTCGAGTACGCTGAAACTGTAAATCGTCATTATCGAGGGACGTGTGATTTTTGACATTTTTTGAAAACTCGAATCTTACGTCGAATACGTAAAAAGAATTCTCGGGATCGATGATTTTTTCGCATTTCTGGAATGTTTGAAGTAGCTTTCGAATGAAACGTCAAGCGAGTTTGTAATTTTTGAAACGTAAAAGCGCTAATTTTTTTCATTTTAAATTTTAATATTGGAAGTGTCACGATCTGTTTGCAATGAAATAGAACTTCGTAGTGTAAATGAAAAATATGGAAACGTATGTACGGTACACGATTAAGCTGTAAATAAAATTAGAAATATTTGAATAAACGTCAAATCCTTTGAAATTGATTCATTTTTTACTCGTACGAGCGCGCAAATGTCGGAAAGCCCTCCATTGGCACGGTCGACGAACTTCGTGAATGTCCGTGTATGCTTCGGCTCTTCTTACGAACGCTCGCGTATACTCGACTCGCGTCGACTGTATTCGGGTCAACAGGCGCGCGTCCGGTTAGTTCGCAAACCATTGTCGGTTCAGTCGAGGAGCGTTCGCGTTTCAGTTGTGATCGTTGTAATTGACGCCTTTCTTTTTCTCAATAGTCGGTCATCCGCCACTCTGTCGATATCGTAGCATGTGCCCACCAGTACACAGTCACGTATACGTTTACCTGCCGCACCACCAGCCCCACAATAAACTCGTCTCTTACGGCTATCGTTAGGGTTGCCGAGAAACCGGCGTTAAGTCGTGTGACCCTTTTTCTATCCGCCCTGCGGCTGAGGAGTGTCAAATCAGGCTGTAGCTTAAATGAGGAATCCCCATTGGTGTTAGAGTGATAGTATGATTTTTTCTTGGATATTTCAGTGAAGTTCGTTCGCAATCGGGCTGTATTGGCTGGGTGGTGAGTTCGCACGTGGTAAGTGGAGTGTGCACGCGCGCGTCACACACGTCGTCGATCCACGTATTTTCCGTCCCGGTGTATAGTGGTGCTGCTTGATCGAACGTAAGCGGACGGGCACGGAGATCGAGAGAAGAAATAAAAAAGAAGGAACACGGGTTCGAAAAGGCGACACGCGCGAAAAAGAAACGATCGGGTGAACGGAACAGAAAGATCGGGGACAAGATACGAAATTGCGAGAGCGACCGAAGACTAAGCTGAATAAAGAGGGCCAAAAGCTGGGTAAGAAGAGGGAAGAGGACAACGATAGAAATCTCATTTCGACGAGTAACTAGCCGGGAGCAAGATGAGCTGCTGTACGAGTGCTCCGATTGTAACTCAAACCTGTGAGACTCTTCTGAGCAAGTGCGAAGTGCCGATCATCGACCTCGCTCACATGGGTAAGCTCTTTATTATCAAGTTACACGGTTTTATTCGTAATTGTTGCATGGTTAACATTAGTTGAATATCAATGAATGATACGCGTATCAAATTACGGTGCACGGTAGAAATAAAAAAAATCTCACGAAATGCAAGATGTGGTAATCCAGGTCACAGGTCAATCTGATGAAATTAGCCGCGAAAAACAAAATTGACGTAGTTCGAAATTAACCGCGATTCAAAGGCACGTGGTGATGCAGGGCGAGATACATATACATGTAGTTTTG